ATGCGTTTGAGCAAGCTCCAGGAGTTAGTGATGGACAGGGAGGCATGGCATGATACAGTCCATGGGGTTGCAAAGAGTCGGACAGGACTGAGCGACTGAACTGAACTGAACAGTCTAGCAGAATTAATTTACTCAAATAATCTCCAGGATTGATTTATATATGCAAGTTCTGTTTATCCAGGAGAGGATAATCAGATTTTGCATCCATTTTTTTGCGTTTCACTGCCCCCTTGTATATATCCATTCTGTTACTAATAAATCACGTTTACTTTCCTTTTCCTGTTATATTCATGAAAAGTTATTTAAGGAGAAAGTTACCATCTAGGCCAATAGCTTGTTTATTATCATGGACCAAAAAGAGTAGTCTTGGTCCAGTGTATTGCTGGAGAAAAAACAGGTTAGATGCTTCTTTTCTGGAGATAGATGAGAGACAGAAATTGGGAATAATGTTTCTGAATGGCTGCATCATGAGATTGACAACTCAGTGATTCATCAAAACATAACTCTTGCCCTAAAGTTAAAAAAAAAAAAAACTTGATTTACATGAAAATTATGAAGTCCAGATTATTTCCATTTGGAATTCATCAGTTTTCAAAATCCTCCCCATTACTACAGTGATGCTGCATCATTAGGTAGATTTTGTCAATTAATAGGAGCTAATTTTTTTGTCACAATAACTCTTATTAGATTATCAAACATTATTAAGATTTCACATATCACTCAAACCATATGTTGCTATTATTTACTTAAAGGAATTTGCTTTAAAATTGGCTTTTTCTAATATGTTCTTTAAACTGTTACATATTTTTAGATAAAATATTTCCTGTTTGCCAGAATCCTTAGAGTCAGTAGAAGATGGTTGATACCTTGACTCTGACAACTCCCCACCCTTACTTCTTAACAACTTCCTGCCTTGTTTCTCACTTTCCCCTAGGGGGCTGTCCAATTGGCATTCAATATTGCATTAAAGCGTACACCCATAGAACTATAAGTTATTAGTGCGACAACTCTGAAACATACTTTCCAGAGGTATTTTGTAGGCAAACTTGATCATCCTTAACAAAGAACAGAGAACATGGGAGAGATTCTTTCTAAAAAAAAAATAGACAACTCCTTTAGACTTGAGTTTCTTAGAAAGTCACTTGCATATTCAAAGAAATTCATAACAAGTCATTGTCCTTTAAGCACCAGCTGGAATCAAGATTGCGGGAGAAGTATCAGTAACCTCAGATGTGCAGAGGACACCACCCTTATGGCGGAAAGTGAGGAGGAACTAAAGAGCCTCTCGATGAAAGTGAAAGAGAGTGAAAAAGTTGACTTAAAGTTCAACATTCAGAAAACTAAGATCATGGCATCTGGTCCCATCACTTCATCGCAAATAGATGGGGAAACAATGATAACAGTGACAGACTTTATTTTTTGGGACTCCAAAAGCACTGCAGATGGTGACTGTAACCATGAAATTAAAATATATTTGCTCCTTGGAAGAAAAGTAATGATCAACCTAGATAGCATATTAAAAAGCAGAGACATCACTTTGCCAACAAAGGTCAGTCTAGTCAAAGCTATGGTTTTTCCAGTGGTCATGTATGGATGTGAGAGTTGGACAATAGAGAAAGCTGAGCACCGAAGAATTGATGCTTTTGAACTGTGGTGTTGAAGAAGACTCTTGAGAGTTCCTTGGACTGCAGGAGATCAAACCACTCCATCCTAATGGAGACCAGTCCTGGGTGTTCATTGGTAGGACTGATGCTGAAGCTGAAACTCCAATGCTTTGGCCACCTGATGTGAAAAACTGATTCATTTGAAAAGACCCTGGTGCTGGGAAAGATTGAAGGTGGGAGGAGAAGGGGACGACAGAGGATGAGATGGTTGGATGGCATCACCAACTCAAGGGACATTAGTTTGAGTAAACTCCAGGAATTGGTGATGGACAGGGAAGCTTGACGTGCTGCAGTCCATGGGGTCACAAAGAGTTGAACACGACTGAGCAACTGAACTGAACTGAACTGTCCTTTACCCACAAAATTATTGAATTCTGACTTACTGATATATGGTGTATCAAAAAGTTTATTTTCAGAACTCAAAAGAACTTAAATCATCCAGGTCTTCCTCTTTGTATTTTGAAGCATACTGAAGATTTTCAAGCTAGCCCTAACTGATTATAGAGTGAGAAAAATGGTTAGCTGATTGGTGAATTCTTCGAATATTGTGTTCCTATTTTGTGCAAAACAAAAAGAAACCCAAGCATTTCTGAGCATAAATACAATCTACCATGTGCAGTGCACTCAGAAATAATCAGTCGAGGATTTGCCAACATTTATTTCACCAGAACAGTTTTCCTTTTGCCAACTCAGTCTGTTACTATAGTTTAATTCTACTTGTTCTCATTTAAAAATCTTTATAATTCTTTGCTGAAATCAACCTTTTTCATTCTAACAATTTCCGGTTAAAAAGCACACATAGGGCTTATCGTATTATTTACTGATACTACTTACTTGCCTTTTTTGGCAGGTAAAACAAATAGCAGCATATATATTTGCCCCAGATTCCTATCATTGCCTTGTTCTATATCTTCTGCTTGTGACATAAATAAAGCATATTAGAATTCCTTCCCTGACACTCAGACATCATCCTCCATGGCATGCCAAATCCTTGGGAAGAAAAGCACATTATTAAGTTGTTAAAGACTGATATCTTGATGAGTCATTTTGTCAGTTGGTTTTCCAGCAGAATTCCCTTGTGGAAACAAGAAAGAAGCAAGAAATATGATGGAGAGGCAACACAGTCAGAGACAGAGACGAGAACAATCTGAAAGTGAGAGGACATAGGTGTTGGGTCCCTCATAATTGACCTATGTCACTTTCTCACCTTGTGTGTGAGTTATAAAACCTCAGTATCATCATCCAACTTTTCATCTGTAATTGAGAATAATCCTACCTCAGACGACCATTGTGAAAATTAAAGAAACAAAGTAGAAAAAAGTACTTTTTAACATGTGCAAATAAATGTATGTGTTTGTCCCTTGAAGACAACTACTAGCATAAGGAATGGGATATCAAAAACACAGATACTGATTTAATATCTTGTAATAACTTATAATGGAAAAGAAACTGAAAGACACCCACGTACATGTGTAGTTATTTCCTTCTCCAGGGGATCATCCCAAATCCGGGTCTCCTGCATTGCAGGCAGATTCTTTACTGTCTGAGCTACCAGGGAAGCCCAAAATAGCCTATAATGGCAAAGAATCTGAAACACACACACACATATATATGCATATATATTGTTGTTGTTCAGTTGCTAAGTCGTATCTGACTCTTTGCAACACCATATGTATATGAATCACTTTGCTGAATACCTGAAAATATCACAACATTGTAAATCAACTACACTTCAATAAAACAGGACAGAACAAAAGTACAGATACTGTCTCCTTCACTCTTCACACTCTTCCCTTGTCTGAGCTTGCCAAAAGAGATCTGTCTCACTCTATTAATGAGGAGGTGTGCTGTGTTAGGTCACAGGCTTCCTATAGGATATAAGAACAGAATGGACTATGGCAGGTAGTCTGGCCCAAGTCCCTCGAGTGATGTCAGCTTTGCTTTGGGGCATGAAAGCCCTTCTACTAGCCATAACATGACTAACGTGGCTTGTCAGCACGTGGAGAAAGAAAAAAAGGTGTCCGTGTCTGAAGGACACTCTTTCTTTTTGGGAAAAGTATAAGCACACAATATGTTGACCACATTTAGAATGGTGTTTCTAATGATAGGAAGTACAGGATAAATGCTAACTTATATTAGCTTTCTGATTTTATGGGCTAAGCTAGTGGGAATTTGTATGTCTTATTCAGGATTTACATAGCCTGTTGAAGAAGAAGTTTCAAACTCTGTGACTGTTAGAGGAAAACTTTCCTCTCATAATAATCAAGAAGGCACTGAGCTCTAGGCAATGTCTAATTGTTTTATATGTACTTTCATTTAATCCTCATAAAACTAGAAGGGAGGTGCTAATACGCTGCTCATTTTACAAATGGAATTGAGGCATAGGCAGCTCAGTAACTTCTCCTGTGGCCATTCACTGGTAACTGCAAAGCCAGGCTTCAAATGCAGTCTGGATTCAGAGGCCTTTGCTAATCACAATGTGCTTCTCTTCCCTGAGACAGCTTTCCCAAGAGTTCAAAAATAAGAAGCAGGTATAGTACCTGAGGTCTCTTTACCTAAGCTAGGGTGACATTTTAAGTAGATAGTTTACCTACCAACTTTTCAGAGAAAATTATCTTTAAATGCACTAACCAAAACTTGTGTAATAGGAGAAAAGATCTCTTACCTATCAGTTCCCAGTCCCCTTAGTTTTTCTTTCTTTCTAAGAAAAAAAGAAACTAAAACTTTCAAAAGTATTGATGGATTCTCTCCCAACCCAGACTAGTAATTCTGCTATTTTAAAGACAATGTGGACATTGGGATTAGTCTCTCTATATTTTAGAATGTCAACACATTTGCCAAAAATAAATTTATCAGTTAAATGCAGCCAAGAGATTTAGTTTATCTGAGTCCTACAAAGAAGTAATAGTTTACCAGTGTTTTTACAGATTGAAGTAAATCTGACATATTATTGACATATGCTATAGATTTAGTTTAATACCGTAGTACAGATGTGTGCTCTGATAATTTTTTTGTGAAATCTAGGCTGAGATGAGTACAGTTGTTTCAATATTTATAGGGTTGAAAATGCAGAGTTAGCAAAGGAAGTATTTTAATTAAAACAATATTTTCCCCTACATGCTCAGAGTAAAATGCAGGGGAATTCATTTAAAGACTATTTTTTTCCCACATAGTGATTGTGTTTTTAGGCAAAGTGGAAAAGGTGTGTTCCCCTGCCCCCCATCTTTTTGATTTGGGAACCATTAAAAATGAACAATAGCTTCTTCTGACCTTTATTTCTTTCAGTTAAGTATATGTGACTCTTTAAGTTCAGCCTTTTTAAATTGTATGTTGTAGGTATCCTGGAGATAACTTCAGTGGAGATCGGAGTTGTTGCTGTGAAAGCTATTAACAGCAACTATTATTTAGCCATGAACAAGAAGGGGAAGCTCTATGGCTCCGTAAGTATTCTGCTTTTAATTGAAAAATCCAGTTCAGTAAATTATTAGCATAGTTTTGCAATATTTCCCCAGACATTAAAGAGCTTTGTTATCATTCTATTGCTCGTAAATAGAACCACAGAGGGCTGGTCACCAAGAGTTTCAAGGGCTGGCAAGACAGCTCTTCCAACTCTATAATCTCCTCTGTTGTTCACTCATTAGTCTACCACACAGGCAGTTACTGGCATTCATATCAGTCAAAGCTTTGAATGCTAATATTCTGAATATTCTGAGCTAACCAGTCAGACTCTCACGGAAGCATTTGGCCAAATTGCCGTGGTTGCTGCAGACATCTTGAAGAATCAGTGAAAATAAAGATCTTGGATTGAGCCGAAAACCACATGCTATGTATGTTTGTGTGTTATAGCAAGAGATAAAACAGGGGCATAAGTGTTTTGTATTCTGTTAAAATCTGAAATGGAGAGACACATCAAGAAATTCATAATTTTCTGTTCTGTTCAGTCAACTTCAGAATTTTATTTATCTGAACAATAATTATTAATTCACTGATGGAGCTGATACCCAGCCAGTGCTTTGGGTACATACACCCCTGTGGTCCATAGCAAGTGTCAGGGAATATCACTTTAAAATGTGTAAATAAACCTATTTTGTTGATTAGTATAAGGATGACTGCAGTGCCTGCCTAGGGCCAGCAGCTCTCAAACTTGAGTGTCAGAATCACCTGGTGGATTTATTAAAACACATTCCCAGATTTTCTGATTCAGTTAAGTCTATAAGACTTTGCATTTCTAACGAGTTTCCAGGTTTTTACCAATTGGTACCCACAATTTGAACATCATTGGAAATTTGTCATGTCATTGGTCTGGATATACAATAGCTTTGTATTTCATTCCTTATTTCATTCCAACCCACTTATAATTGGAGAATCAGGCACACTTTGGGTTAATTTCTTTGATTAGAGTAAATGCTTTTTGGGTGAATGGGTCAGAAAAATTTTAGTTAAATTTTTCCATTATATGTAGCTCTACTACTGAACCTAGAAGACTAATGGACCATTTAAAAATGTGGCTCCATTTGGGAGTTCATAGCATAACCACTTGGGAGATATTTTTGTTTTTCTTTTCAATAAACATGCAGAGGTCCCTTTCCTCCTTAATCTACTATATGAGAATTACTGAGCGAGAGGTCCAGGTGTATATTCTTTGAAGACTTACTAATACACAGTCAAAACCAATGCTTTAAAGTGAAACCTAATAAAAATTTAGATTGAGAGAGAAATGTAAAATTCTTAATTGCAATAAAAGATTGAAATGATTTTTAATTGATAAAGTATGCTTCTTTAAAAAGGTGACATCAAGGAAAAATAGATAACTCTCAAATGTCATAAAAATGTTTAATACTTTTCCTTCCATTCCCCCACTTTTTCTTCTGTTCCTACACAACTCATGCCCAGAGTCTATGCCTCTTCTTGAGCTCTAAGACCTGTGACTTATTTCATTCTCTATTTCTAACATAGATGCCCAGTTGCTTTCTATCACATCATACCATTTTAATGATCTCCAACGGCATTTATTAGATATTTCTCTCAATAATGTGCTTGTTGTTGACTGTCTTCTCAGAGTAGTTTGTGAAATTTGAGAGGACAAGGCTTGCCTTGTCCCACATGGCTTTTTCAGCCCTCGGAACCATACAATAAACAGATAGTACAACGCATAAACCACCTCTCCAAGTAGTTCAACCCATCACAGCTAACACACTCCACTTTTAGCCTGTCTCAGAAATGAGCTCTTTCTCTAATCGTTGTGCACTGTTTTTTCTATTTTGCATTACCACCAGGAAGAGTAAAAAAGTATGGCTTCTTCAAAACTAAATTAAAAATCTACTAAAATTCAGTGTCTTATTCAGGGCAGAATAGGACTAGGAGCTACCAAAATTATTCATGAGTACACATTCTATATAATTCTGTATGGACAGAAGAGCCCAGCGGGCAACAGTCCCTAAGGTTGCAAAGAGTCAGACATGACTGAACAAATAACTTTCATTTTCACTTTTCATCAGGTGACAACTCTTATAATCCCTCTGTATTTTTTTCCAGATAATTTCCATTGATTCCATAGCCTTTTTGAAAATAGCAATTAGGTAAAAGCCTAAAGTGATTAATTAAACCAGCTCTATAAATTCTATTCTCTTAAATACTTTCCTTGATTCCCTTTTAGGAAACATATCTCCCTTATATTTTCATTATTTGCCTTCTGATCAATGTGTCTATTGTATTATATTGTATATTGAGTTATCTCCTGACTGATGGACTTAAGTAAATAATGATAGTTTATAAAACTGAATTATATAGAATAAGCACTTATAGGGCATGGTTTAAAAACTGAAGAAAGTTCCCAGGTAATCCTGAGAAAATCTAAAAATCTTTTTTAAACTACCAAAACTCTACTTTTGAGATCTTGCTCTAGCCTAGATTTTTTTAAAACCTTTAATATTTATTATTCACCAAAATGCTGTAAACAACTATAGATTCCTAGGTCTCCTCCAGAGATTCTGATAGAAAAATTTGACCAATGATCTAAATATTCAGTGGTCTAAACACCAGAGATGAGGAGTCTGATACAAGTGTAACTCACTTTCAGAAATGTTTCTCTATAAATTAATTTTTAAGGAAAAATAAATTTAGCATCCATTCATACTTTTTTATATATAGCTCCATTTCAAATATAAATTCTTCCATAGTCTCTAAACTATACCTTCTTTATTGAAAAAATATAATTGCTCATGTAAAAAAATCCTCTTTGCTTTTAAACCCATATAGTTTCAGACAGACTAGGATGAATTAAGAGAAAAAATAAACTCAAATTAAGAATTCAGATCATCTCTAATGCATAATTTTTTGTTATGTTAATATCATTACCTTAAATAATTTCTTTTCTTCTTACTTTCAGCCAAATAAGTCATCACTTGAACATTACATTTAAATATTCTTTATAGAAGAGAAGCATAGAGGATAGATTCCAGAAAACAAAGCTTAAACTGATTACATTAAACTATACCTGCTCATTATGGTTCTGATAATGTTCAAAATTCAGATCTAGTCTTCAGAAACCTGAATTATTTAAATATACACATAGTCAAAATTTCCAAAAGTCCCGAAGTGAGAAATACTGAACTGCACAGTAGAGGTTTCAACCAAAAGATGCCTATAGTTTTCAGATGTATTTATGTAGATAGGTAGATAGATAGATGCCCTTGGTTTCCATAGAGAAGATAGGCCCAGAAGAAAAAAAGCCCCAGTTCCTTTTTAACTGCTTTAGTTTGGGTATAAAGGAAAAGGAATGTATCTGAAGTCAGAGTTTTGAGATTAGTAAGGTATCTCCTTTTTGCTATTCACTCCTGAGAGAAAATCTGGATTTCTACAATCCAGATTTCTGAAATGAAAGAGATACTGATCTTTGTCACAAAAGATCCCCTTAAAAAACTTTGCCATTTGAAATGAAGCCAAAAGACTATGGCTATAAAGTGGAATTTCTCAGGGTCCAAGTCTTCAGACTTATACTATATAAGCTGTGCTAGTCACCAGATTTGTAGTTTCTCTGACACAGAAATTCACAAAGCAGGGTTGTCTCATGTCCTACTGTTCAACTATTCCTAAACCTCAGAGTAAAGTTGGTCAAAATTCCTAGTTATGGAAAATTGTGAATAATTTACAAAATTGAGAAATCTGGTATTTGGAAAAGAAGGATATCCCTACTCCCAGGGCCTCTTGTTTATCTAGAGCTATTATGGTTTTGTTTTAAGATCTGGTTTCTTAACAATGTATATATATTTATTGTGGATTTATAGGTAAATAAACTTTGCCAACTTGATAAGCCCACCTTTTCCCTGTAATTCTGTTTTTCCCATGGAAACTCAATTATTACTCTGATAAAAAAAAAGGATGATAATAACATTCTTTATTATTTGTTCATCATAAACATTGTTACTAGAATGCTTGTTTCTTAATAATCATTCTAGGCACTTAAACATGTCATACTGAAAGCACATCGGCTCCTTAAAAGGGCCCCAAATGTGGTTATGATGATCGATTAAAGTAAATCGTGTGTAGAATGTTTTGTCTTTTTGTTTTATTCTTCTGTTGTTGATGTTTTGTTTAAGCACACAACTTATGTACAGATGTCAAAAGCAATAAAACCGAGGAAGTGGAGTTCTCTGGATGGTTTGTGTAAAATGGAATCAAGTGTCATCACCACAGGAATAAAAGATTTTTTTTTTCCCTTGCAGAAAGAATTTAATAATGACTGTAAGCTGAAGGAGAGGATAGAGGAAAATGGATACAATACCTATGCATCTTTTAACTGGCAGCACAATGGGAGGCAAATGTATGTGGCATTGAATGGAAAAGGAGCTCCTAGAAGAGGACAGAAAACACGAAGGAAAAACACCTCAGCTCATTTTCTTCCTATGGTGGTACACTCATAGAAGAAGGCAATGTTTGCAGATGCAGTAGAACCAAAGGCTCTTTATGAGGCGTAGTTGGTGTTCTTTATGAAGACAGTACTTCACAAGGCAAAGACACATTGCAAATGTCTGCTTGCTTGAAAGAAAGGAAGCCTTTGAAGGTTTTTGTACTCTCTACTGACATATGATGTTCTCTTAATTAGTTCTGTGTCCTGCCTTGTGATCACAATATAAGCAGATCAAATGGATGGAATTTATTCCCAAGTGAACAATATTGTGGCTGTTTTGGGGTTAAGTTTTTGTTTATGTTTTTGTTTTTCTCCTCTGAGATAGAACTTAAAGGACAAGGAACAATCTGTTGAATGATCTTCGGGAAAGTTATTTATGGAATACGAACTCATATCAAAGACTTTCATTGCTCATTCAAGCCTAATGATTCAATGAGCAGTAAGACATGCAAGCATTTACTGGAAAGCACTTGGGTCATATCGTATGCACAACCAAAGGAGCTTTGCGCGTGACGTCATGGAAGAATCGGATAGGATTGATAAATATAAACATGGTAGTGTAAAACTGTTCTAACCAAACAAATAGCAATGGTATGCTTGTGCATTCTGCCTTCATCCTTTTCTATTTCCTTCTAAGTTATTTATTTAATAGGATGTTAAATATCTTTTGGGGTTTTAAAGAGTATCCTCAGCAGCTGCTCTCTGTTTTACCTTTTCTTTTTCTTTAGCACACCACATGCATATTCATGACAAAGTGTTTTTAAAAGTTGGCAAACACTTCAAGAATAGGAGATAAAATTGGGAAAAGAGTGTGAGTGCCCCACGTGCTATCTGTTGACTTAATCTGCACTTCTGCCATAAAGAACCGTCAACAATAAACATGACAACACTACAACATGGCCTGAGGGAGAGATATCTGCCATCATTTAAAGACAGACATCACTCCTAAAGCTTCCTTTCTTAAGCGATAGACCAAAAAGCCAAATTCTTCTCTTTCAATAAATCACTGGGCCTCCAAAAGTATAGTAAAAGAAAGAAAATTAATTGTCAAATACATTTTAGTAGCATAGACTCATTATTTACTAATGATTTTTTGCCATATGTCACAGTGGTAAATGATGAAGAGGCTGTCTGCCTATATAAGAACACTTTACAGGTCTCACATAGTGTATCTCCCCCACAGGAACTATCAAGGAATTTGGTATGAAGTGCAACCCTCACCCCCCCTCCACCCCCGACAGGGGCTTAAACTGAGCAAATATATCCTGGTTTATGTGTAACTATATGCTGAAATTTGTTCAAATGGTATGATCTAGCCTTTCCAAAACCAAATAAAACTTATTTTCTATAAATTTAAAGAGCTTTGGAGGGTTCCATAATGTAACCTTATTGAAATTCATTTTGTTAGAGCAGGTATAGAAAACAGTACAGAAAAGCGTACCAGTCATCATCACATTGTATTCCACTAAATAAATACTTAAACCTTATTTGCAGTGTCTGTAGTGATTTTTAAAAGTGTAGAAAAATACTATTTGTTCTAAATACTTTAAGTGATAACTATAAGATTATATTGATACTGCAGTTTTATCTTAATATTTCTTATTTTGAAAAGGTCTGTTTATTTTTATTATTTGACACAGTATTTTGGTACAAAGGAAAGACTTACTAAATGTGTCTTTTTACTAAAGTTTAAGCTCTAGCAAGTCTGGTGTTTTATCATCTTCTCTAATAACTTAAGTGTGTCGATGCTTAACCAACACTTCCAGTTAATCTGTTATTGAAAAATTAGCTTTATTAAGAAACTTTCTCATAAAGTAATTCCATTAAAGATCATATTTTTCTCATTCCTTACAAAAGTTGGAATTTCAAAGGAAATGCATTTGAGGCAGAATGTTTTGGCTTATGGCTAAACTTGCATTTTATGGTACTTGGCTTCCAACTTGCTTTTTGACAAATGGGATTCTAAAAATGTTTAATTTTGTGGTTGGAATCTGTATGTTAAAATTTAATTGGTAACTGAGTCTGAAAGCTATACTGTAATGCATTCCTATGAGAACTAGATTATCTTTGTTGTTTTATTTTAAAATAATAATTGCACCTGACACATGAACATGGACCACCCACAACCAAAATTAAATGTTTGGTGAGACAAATATAGTATTAGATGACCATGGTAACAGCAAATAGGGCACAAACTGGATTCATATTTCACATAGCCATTTAGATTACCAAGAGACTATGTGTAAACAGTCATCATCATAGTACTCAAAACACTAAAACAGCTTCTAGCAAAATGTATCAAAGCTTGCAGAAGCCAAAAATAGAAAACATCTCCTTTACCTCTCCCCTGCCTCACCCCCAGAATACACACATGGACAGAAAAAAAGACAGAAACAGTTTGGTAAAGAGTAATGAGATTCTCCTGCATTTAAAATGGCATCTTTGCTTGATATTGAGATAGAATTCTGGTCCCCTTTGCAGCTGGATTGTGCTACTGAAGGAAAAACGGCTCCAGTCCTGAATGTTTTTTTTTTTTTTTTTTTTTAATCATGATTTTGGTAGCTCTGCCTCTGTAGGAAGTGTGAACCCTGGCTACAATGTCAAGGTGCATCAGTCAAAAATGTGTGTCCATCTGAGTGTTGATTTCAAGGAGACTCCTCATAAAGATATAGATTCCCTCCCTGCTCCTACCTCCCAAAAGGCTGAACAGTGTATAGTATGTTACATTTAAATAAATCAATAAAAATACTGGGTAAAGAAAATAAAAATATTGTCCTTGTTTGTTTTATTAGCCTAAAACTATACCTGGTAATTAAGAGAGACGCTCACGTGTTGTGTGCTTGGCAGGATGTGGTTAAATGCCCCACAGCCCCAAACAACAACAGAAAAAAAGTCACTTAAACATTTGTAAGGTTTCTTTAATGCTTTACATGTGTGAGTCAGCTATCCTTACTCTAATAACAACCAAATGCTTTCGATTTTTTCTAAGTATTCAGGTCCACCTAGTTTACACAGTGGATAAAGAAGGATGAATTGAAAACAAGGATGGCTTGTGAAACAATGAAAGACTTTTGGAGGAAAGCCAGGAGCCTGCAAAATCAGATTTCAAGGGGATGGAGTAAGCCAATGAGTTTGATTTGAAAAGTAGAGAGAGAAAAATACATAATATTGCAAGTCGGGGCCAGGATCCAAGCAAGGTTGTGTGTGTGTGTGTGTGTTAGTCTTTTAGTCGTATCTGACTTTTTGTGACCCCATGGACTGTTAACCCACCAGGCTCCTCTGTCCATGGAGTTCTCCAGGCAAGAATACTGGAGTGGGTTGCCATTCCCTTCTGCAGGATATCCTTCTGATCCGGGGATTGAACCCTGATCTCCCACACTGCAGGCAGATTCTTTACCTTTTGAGTCACCTGGGAAGCTCCAAGCAAGGTTATGGACACCATTTAAATATACCATCACTAATATACACACTTTATAATTTGAATGTTTCTTAATTCAGGTTCTATGATCATTCAGCAAAAATTAAAATTGCCATTGCCTTATCAGTGAAGATTTCAGTTTATGTAAGCTTTGTTTAAATAAAGTTATTTGTAGAAGTCATGAAATGTTTAAGAGGAGATACCTAGAGTATTAGAAGTAGTAACACATTTACATGAGAACAAGTATCCTGTTGATTAAGGATTCTTGTCAGTTTCACTAGACAGGACCCTTTTTAACTTAAAGTAAGATTTAAGGGGGTAAAGGGTGTATTTTGGAAAGATACTGGAAACAAAAGGGCAATTTTGTTCGACCAGAACTAAGAGATGAAGTAACTAAAGTCCTCTTCCTCCTAGGCACTCATTTCCTCTTACCGCTGATTGGCTTTATTTGCTTGACTACTGCCTGTCTCCATTTTCTTTCTTTCTAATTGTAAAGGCCCCAAATCCCAAATCTCTTTTTCTCAAGATTCCAAAATGGAAGCATCCAAGGTATGCCAAGTGTGGGTGAGGTACTAACCTTTAGAGCAATCAGTAGGACAAGGCATATGGGCACTATGATTGGGCAAGCTTTAATCATGTCACCCAGAGCTCCATGGTGTGGATTTTGGCAGCCCACACTACTGGAACTGGTGAAAAACGGTGTACCAAAAAAGGGTGGTGCTGGGCACATACAAAAACAAAAACAATTCTTAGCTACATCTATCTAAATGAGACTACTGACTTAATCTTGCATTTTTTGCTAATGCTAACTAGGCTTCATCCTTTTCTTCAAATCAGAGAGATCTCAAGATTTTTTAAGGCATTTTTTAAAAGGGAGAAATAGCATTCTTTTTTTTTTTTTTGGTATCAAAGCCAAGAATAGGGTCCTGAATACAAGCATGCTCACCATAATTCTGCAACTGTTCATTGAGATGAATGCAAGTTTGCACCAAGTCAAAATGTAGTTCTCATACTAAGTATCAGTCTATACAACAGCATGACATTATAAATATTTCTTTACATTTATCCCAAGAGTATGTACTAGCATTTTCAAATATATCAGTGTGAAGAGGAAAATCTGAAAATCAAATGTCATTCAATTTTCAAAACTTGTAAAATAAAAATGGACAAAAGTTAAAACCTGCTCTATATCGCTCATTAGGCTTTATGTATATTCAATATAAGAGAAAAGAAAGCTTTATAACATGAATTTCTCTTTTCTGTTGCTGATTAGAAAATAATAAAACACAAAATGCCCTTGTAAGTGCACAATCTACTGAAAACACCTTTACAAACACCATGTTAAAATGGAATAATCATGATCAAACTAATGAGATCAGAGGAACTGGTCTCATTCCTAAGTGACTAATACTGAATATTTCCATGTAGCTGTTCCATGATAGTGGCTGTTCTATGATACTAGCAACAATTCCATACACAAAGAGAAAAGCCGTATACCAACCGTCTATGCATGTGGCCTGTATTATCTTACACATTTTTATTATCCTCCATGAAAGAGTCTGTGTTCATTTTTTTAATATTGGCAACTGCATCCTCTAGAGAGGAGGACAGCAAATGAAGAATCAAAATATCCCATGTTCCTCATTACAACTTTAAATTGAACATATGCCTTTGTACAACTTAGGCAGTGACCCTAGTTGTAGAATAACCAACTATGGTAGGGTCTTAACCCTCCTAAAGTTTGGTTTTAATTACCTTATACACATCTTATACACATCTTAAATGCCTAGATAATCTTACAATTTTCAAAATTATTTAATGATCATTTCTGGGTCAATTTAAGATGCTGACAATGAAAATATTCTTGGAGAGGTCTTTCAAGGGCCAGAAAATTAAAATCAGTGTTTCATGAAATATTATAAATCAAAAAAAAACTATTTTTTACAGCTACAGGAGGCATTTAGGTGAGGGGTCACTTATCGACTCAACATCATAAATATTTTAACATCTGGTATTTAAACAGTAGACTTTTTTTTAAATCAAGTATCCTTATTTTTAAATTTAAATTAAAAAAGTGAAGGATAAAAGCAGTAAAAATTACACTTTAAGTGAATAAATTGAAAGTGAAAGCGAAGTCACTCAGTCGTGTCTGATTCTTTGCCACCCCATGGACTGTAGCCTACCAGGCTTCTTCCTCCATGGGATTTTCCAGTCAAGAGTACTGGAGTGGGTTGCCATTTCCTTCTCCAAAACACTAGACTTTTCAACTATCACTATTTTTTTTCAAAGACATGATCAATATGTTAGACAATGATATTTAGCTAGTATCTATAAAAATGATATAAAAATGTCTGTTTATTTGGGAGATTTCCACCTGGGAAAAATGAAAGAGAAACACTGATAAATGGCATTGCAAATAAATATGCAAACATCTTACTTGCTTTTGTGATAAATTGAAAATTTGAAATAAAATGCATTTTACAATGCAAGCTTACCCTCTTAAAGAAAACAAATGAAATTAAGTATTTTTTTTAATACTAGTATTTTAAAGTCAGTATCTGCCATCCTTCCTCCTCATCCTACCCTAGGAAAGTTCTGCATTCCAGCCTCCAGGATCTCCTAAAAAAACAGTCAAATCACAACATTTCACCTGCAGCAGTTTATGACTCACAAAGTATGGACTTTAAACTAATACCTACTTCAACTGTATCAAATGAGTATAGGCTCTACAGTAAAATTAGTAGAGATTATTGGAGGCAATTAATATTGAGAACCTGAAATCATTGTTATATTCCTCTATGTTTTTTAAGTTACATTTCTTCCATGCTTATAAATATTCCCTAGTGAAAAATTAATAGTTCTGAGAAGTCTGAGTTCTTCATTCCTACCACTGGGGGAAAAAATTAAAGTAAAATTTAAACATAGGCCCTAGGAAGGGTTGAAGTCCCTGTATCTTAGAATATGGCTTTACTAGGCAGTAGAGTTCTTGCAGATATGATTAGTTGAGATGAAGTCAAACTAGACTAGGGTGGACACCTAACCCAACATGACTGATAGATATCCTAACAA